TACTGGAGCCCATGTGCACCATTGGTTTTGAATCAGGGTTTTCCGATTCCCCTAGGTGGACTTTCCGTGTGTGACCGACCTCAAGCAGTTGTCCATTGGGCACTGCGGTCACGCTCTCAGATCATAAAGACCACTTCTAACCCAATTTCCTTTTCAGGTACCCCTAGAAGAACTCTTCCACGGTGTGGGCAACCGGGAAGTGATAACTGCCCTCATACCTCTAACAGCACTCAAGACCACCGTATTCATAATCAATCTCCTTCTTCAATTCCTACTATTCCTTCTACCTTGACTTTCAACACTAATCTTCCTCTTCCGGTTTCCTCCTCAAGTATCACCATCGCCAACGATTGTAGTGCGCGAAACGCTGTCCCAGGTCTACTAAAACCTCGCTCCAAACTACACATTGGAACCTTCAACGTACGTACTTTAAGTCAAATCGGTCAACAGGCCTCCTTTGCTAAAACCCTAGAATCTCGTACCATTGATGTATGCCGTGTCTCCGAAACACGCATACAGGATCCTAGTGTGTTCATTCACTTGACCTCACCTCGCCAAAATGGACAGCCAACGAAATACACCCTCCGTGTATCTGGCGACCCGTTGGCAAGTTCTCGTGGACTTGCAGGTGTAGGCATAGCACTAAGTACAAGGGCAGAACAGGCACTATTAGAATGGATCCCCGTTAACAGTCGCCTGTGTGCTGTCCGGCTAAATGGCTCCGTAAGAACTCGGAAGGATAGGGACACACGTCGTTGCCTTTTCGTCGTTTCTGCCTACGCTCCAACTGACTGCAGCCATGATGAAGTGAAAGATGACTTTTACAGAAAACTCTCTGAGCTTCTACAGAAAGCTGAGCGCTCAGACATAGTAGTCGTAGCGAGTGACTTTAATGCCCAGGTAGGCAGCTTAAATCAAACAGAAAGACATTTAGGTGGGTGTTTTAGTATTCCGGCTCAGCGAACAGATAATGATGATCGTCTGTTGCAACTATGCTCAGACAATCGTTTATTTTTAGCAAGCACTAATTTTAAGCATAAGGAGAGACATCGTCTAACATGGCGACCACCTGCCCCAAACCAACGATGGACTCAAATATACCATATTGTCATCAGTCATCGTTGGAGAGGCTCAATAGAAGATTGTCGCTCGTTTTGGAATACTTGTTTAGACTCTTATCACGCTGTAATACGAGCGCGCATTTGTCTGCGCCTCAATGGACGCAGGAAAAGTACACTAAGAAACCCATTAGGATTGAACTGGAGGACGAGAAAGCCAAATGCGAATTCCAGAAACAACTGAGTTCACATCTAGGCAGTTCTGTAAACGAGACTGACCCAGAAGCTGCTTGAAAAGACACACGAACAGCTGTGGAAACAGCATTAACATCTATTCGTTATTTAAACCATAAGGCTCCAAAAAACCAGTCTATTTCACTGATGGATTCGCGTAAACTCATCCCATCAGGCTCTAAACATGACGAAGAGCGTAGACAAATTAGATCTAGGTTAACTAAAAGTCTAAGGAACGATCGTGAGCAGTGGTGGGCAACAAAAGCAAAAGAGATGGAAAAGGCAGTGGCTGTAGGCAACACCAGGCAACTATTCAGACTAATAAAAGAAACCGGAATTAAGAAGTCAAGTGTAAGTGAGACAGTCTCGGAAAAAGACGAAACCCTTATCTGCTCTCAACCCAGACGTTTAGAACGATGAGCGGAACACTTTAAGGAGCAGTTTAGCTGGCCTTCAGCTACTGCACAACTACCCACTATTCCTAGAAAACCTGAATGGAACATTAAAGTAGGCCCCCCGACCCTACTTGAAGTTCAAAAGGCTATAAGTAATCCGAAACGAGGAAGAGCAGTTGGTCCAGATGGATTGGCTCCAGAGGTCTTTAAATATGGTGGGCCAATTTTAGCGATTAGGTTGACTAATATTCTGGCTAAAATCTGGGAGACGGACGTAATCCCATCTCTGATTGTCCCAATATATAAGAAGGGGCCAAAATCATCCTGTGATAACCATAGAGGGATTAGTCTGACTAACATAGCATCTAAAATACTAGCCTCAATAATTATCGGGCGCCTAACTAAGACTCGTGAACTGCAAACACGAGAAAATCAGGCTGGCTTCAGACCTGGTTGTATCTACATCGACCACATATTCACTATTCATCAGGTTTTAGAGCACAGACATGTTTATCGGCGTCCGACAATAATAGTTTTTCTTGACTTGAAAGCAGCATTTTACTCTGTAGACCGAGAGGTTCTGTAGCAGTGTCTGTCATTAAAAGGTGAACCTCTGAAGTACATAAACCTTGTGAAGACTCTTTACTCGAACACTACCAGTCGAGTGAGAGCTTATGGCGAACTGTCATATGATTTTACAACCTCAAGTGGTGTCCGTCAAGGCTGTCCACTATCCCCATTTTTGTTTAACTTCATTATAGACCTGTTGCTGGAAATAACATTCTCTTCGACTGAATTTACAGGAATTGATCTCCTACCAGGGGGACCACTAATCGACTTAGAATACGCAGATGACATAGTCCTGTTTGGTGAAGACGCTGACAAAATGCAGAGTCTTCTGTTGGAACTCAGTAATAATGCCAGAATGTTTGGGATGCGTTTCTCCCCATCGAAATGTAAATTGTTACTCCAGGACTGGCCTGCGTCAACACCTGAACTAAGGATAGGGAGTGAAGTAGTCGAACGCGTGGACAACTTCACTTATCTTGGAAGTCTAATGGGTTGGTGTCTGACGAAATCTCAGCACGGATTCGAAAAGCTCGTTTGGCTTTTGCCAACTTACGTCACCTATGGCGAAGACGAGATATCCGTCTATCAAATAAAGGACGAGTATACTGCGCAGCAGTTCGCTCTGTTCTACTTTACGGTTGTGAAACATGGCCATTAAGAGTAGAAAATATTCGTAGGTTACTAGTATTTGACCACAGATGCCTTAGAAATATTGCACGCATCTGCTGGGATCACCGGGTAAGTAATGGTGAGGTTAGACGCAGGGTATTAGGGAACGATGGTAAATCAGTTGATGAGGTGATGAATCTTCATCGACTGAGATGGTTGGGCCATGTGTTACGTATGCCTGAACACCGATTACCACGACGGGCAATGTTTACTAGTGTAGGGGATGTTTGGAAGAGAGTTAGGGGCGGCCAAACCAAAACATGGCCTCAGTGCTTAAAGTCACTAACTTCTAGTCTGAGCCATGTTGGTAGATGCAGACTACCTGGTTGGGGTCCGTGCGACTATCGTAACCAATGGTTGGAGACTCTGGGTGACATGGCTCAGAATCGATCACAATGGCGTAGGTGTATACACTCTTTATCTTCCCTTAAACCTTGAGATTAAAATTGCTTCATAACTTTTTTGCTTCTTATACTATATCCTTATATACTACCACCACTAAATTAATTCTATGAATCCGGTGTTCATCTTGTTGTGCTAACGAGGTATGGCAACTTGGACCGATGCATAAATGTGCCTGGTCCTACGTTGTCGCTGACTGTGAGCCGATAGTTCCATGGATCTGGGAGCTTTCATTGCATGGAGTCAGTACATTTATAACCTTTCTAGACTACTTGTTTGCATCATAAGTCAAACACGGGTGTCTCAGCTTCTGTTTCCTTTTTTAGATTTGCGTTCAAGGTGGTTATTTACAGCAATCCTAACCGAACTTACATTGGAACGAAACTGTAGTGCTCATCTCGATGTACTTTATAGTGTGTAAAATGATGACCTAGTCATTAAGGCGTTCAACTTTCAGCCACTAAGTTTCAGGCTCGAACCGTGCCCCACCCACTTTAGTTTGTACAACTGATTAGTAGCATTCGTCAACCAATCATCTACAACATAAGACCAGACACATATATGCATCGGTCCAAGTTGCCATACCTCATCAACACAACAAGATGAAAACAAAATTCACTGAAGCAGTTACTTCAATCGTAGTAATATAGAAAAGGAATACTGAATGTAAGTATATGATACATGAAAAAATAATTAGTTCGTAGAAAGGCATAAAGTTATTTTAAACTCACGGTTTTATGAAAGATACAGTGTACATACACTTACGCCATTGTGACTGATCCTGAGTTATGTCATCCAGAATCTCCAATGATTGGTTACGATAGTCTCGCAGACCCCAACCAGGTAGTCTGCATCTACCAACATGGCTGAGATCAGGAGTGACACCCTCACTTTGTGTGAGGTTTACAAGACCGAACGTTAAATGACTTGATTAAAATACATTTAAAGTTTATCATTATCGTATTACTGTCGTTTCTTGCTTATCTTATTTTCTGTCCTTAAGATTATAGTGAGTCTTTTGATGCCATTCTAAATATTATTATTAGAGATTTGAAATCTTGCAAACAGCTCGCAAGTGTTATTTTATCAGATACAAACCATCCGCTCCATTTACATTTTTGTCCTTATATATCCGACAGGGAGAACATATGCATTTAAACTAAAGCACAACAGCTCTATATCACCGTACTTAACATATACAATTCGTCAAGTAGGTTGTAAAAGCTGACCTAACCAAAGGCCTATACTTGTGAATATAAAGCCTATTCAATGCTGGAAGCATTCTTATTTCCTTACGAACCATTCACTTGTGTTTAAATAATTTTACTTAATATTATATATATTTGAAATGTGTAAGAAGAGTAAAATAACTGTTGAGACATTGTATGCTGAGAATCCCGTATTGTACCGAACATATTCAATAAAGCCACTGTTATTACTATTTTTATCATAGTTATTTATGACTGCCCATAATTATCTCCCACACTTAACATATATCAACGTACGATGCTGCCATGTCTCATGTCTTTCCATATACCGCCAGTTTTCTTTAGTTATTTACGTTTTTATCTATTTTTATTGGTAAAATAAATATCTTTTATTCATAACTGTTATTTATCCAAGGTCTACTACTTTTTCAGTCTTATTCAAGAATGAACACTATGAACTTAGGATGAACTTTAGTGCCTTATTCGCAAATATAAAAAAATCAGAATGCCCATTGTCTCTTTTGAAGAGCTATGTGAACGATGGTGTGGCCCTAAAGGATTTCAACAAATGCGAGGAAATCGGTTCACTCGTTTGCTTTCTCGTGTCTAAAACATATGGGCTTGGCCTCAAAATACTCCTTGACTGTGGTTTGGATATGTCTGCTAGTGTAAGTCTGCAGTTAGTTTATTATTACCATAGTATTAAAACCGCAAAATGCAAATCAATTAATAGTTTAATAGTATATGTTGTTAGTTGTTTACCTAAAGAGTACATCTTACCTTCACCAACGAAATACAATTTGCGGCTTAATCTGTAAAGTACGATTTAAGTAGATATAGTCTTTTGCTCTTAAGTAAATGTTTCTAGCGAAATCAAAATTAATAAGGATAATATCAACATACGAAGTGTCACCGCAAAGGTTCTAAACATGTAGCTTTTTTATCATTTGTAAGGTTTGAGTTATCCCATTATCGATATTGAGGACTGCATTTTGGTCTGTATTTGCTACCACATGTGCATCTTGTTGGGTGTGCCCCAATGTAACCAAATTACCACACGTTTTATGTAGAATAGATTAAGTGTCTCTAGCAATCTAACCCACGTTTCATCCTAGTGTTTTTAAAAAAAATAAAAGAACCACATTTGGTATTCACTTGTGCATTTTGTTAACTTTATTTAATTCAGCATCACATTACTGGAGACACACCACTGATCATCCTTTGCAACGAAGGTTTATGTGGTGCAACGAAACAACTAATTGACAAATTAGAACCGGCTAGTCTATTTCATTCCAACATCATTGGATTAACAGCTATAACACAATTGCTCTGTCGCGCTCACGGGGCTTGCAACTGCTTAGAAAGTCTTCTTTCACATCTGTGTCTTTGCAGTGCTCTTTTACCAGTTGATTTGCGAAAGAACAGTTATACACGCAGCTTGAATAGCATGGAACTTTTACATTCAGAACCCTTGTTTGAAAATGATGAAGGAAGTCAGGTGTTATTCACTGTTGACCAGTTACTGGGGCGCATTAAGTCAGATAATAGTGAGCGTATCATCTCTGTATTACAACTGTGGATAAAAGCAAATCTTCTGCGTTTAACGCACAGTAAGTTTATTACAGCGCTTCTCAAGTAGAGCTATTCCAGGTTTTATATTCAGCCTATAATCCAGCGGGTAGATTGATGTAGGTGTGACTTTTAGGTCCCCGCTCCTTTTAGCACACCGTGAGATACCCAACGAGTAAGATACTAAAAATAATAACGTCAACAATATTGGAGCACCAAAGGCAACGACCAAAGTTGGTCAACGAAAGCATAGAGTAATAAAATGTAAGGCAATAATCTGGGGAATCTAGTAATTGGGCACGAATGAAATATACTCAGGCCGCTTCAGTCAACTTTACAATACTAACACAACGATGTAAATCAGTTAGATTTATCACCGTAACTGTAGTGCTCTTGATCTAGAGTCAACTTTTGAAATCCTCTTGTATTTTCATTCCGTTAAACATTACTGAATGACATCATTGTGTTGGCTGAATATCGTACTGTACTGTAAAGGGATGAAAATTTAATCCATGCTCCATGATATAACTGTCTGATTTATCTTAGTATTTGTATTATGACGGGTGAACAATAACATTTCCTCTTTGGCACATTATACTACTATAACACATTAATATGACCAGGATTGAGATTTAAACTACCACTGGGGCAGATACTTGACCTGTAAGCTATACACAGACTGGGACTGCGTTTTATCAGATATACAATTCACAACCGGAGTATAAGCCAATAGTTTATTTAACACAGTTACACACAGTCTATACTCCGTGATTCCAGATTAAAAATCAATGATAGGAAAGATACCACTTATTTTTAGTAGTAAAAGAGCTGTGTCTGTCAGTTCACACTCAGTGGTCAATCACAGCTTACCTCCATTTACACATATCAATCTTTTGTAAAGGCTGAGAAAAACTTTCCGGTTTCAATATTTTGACGTCTAATGAGACAAGACCATGACCAAAATCCAATCAGTAGCCTGGAAGAAGTACCAATAGTCTTTTGATTCTCTAAAGTAGTAATCATAGTTATTTAATCTCTCTGCCCACTGTTGAGTCGACATATGTTTCTCCTTGTGCTTAAAGTTGGTGTCTATGTACGTAATAAAGTCGTCTGTTGAAATAACTGGGTGACCTTCAATTCGCCTGAACTGCAAATAGTCAGGAGTAAGTACAATGCTATCAGATTTAGCTGTAATCAGAGAACTGTCAGGCGAATTCCAGTCCAGCAGTGGATGATTTACTTATGGACTCAATGTATGAAGTACACTTTCAGGGCCACAAGTTATTCCCATCAAACTGCCAGATGCTCAAATAACTTACCACATTTGAGCCTTTATGCGGATTGCGCGAAACAAAATTACGATTAGGGAACTAGAGTTTTGGTTAGTAAGTTTCACTGTTTTACTTGGTATAACATTCAAAAATAGGAGGGCAGGTTTACGAGACTATAATATTAATTTGCAGACCATCTTGTTAGTACTAGTTGGATATGCTGGAGATTATGCTAGGAAATAAAGTAATGTAGTAAATCTGGCTACCACGAAATGTAGGATATTATAGAGTCAGGAGTAATAAAGTTAGACTGGTAAAAAAAAATTTGTAAATTACTATTTAAAATTTCTTATTCATTGTTATAACTTTTTGAGACATTGCAGTGAAAATTAATTTGATACTCTTTATTCATAAAAGCAACTGGAGACAGTTCTATTCCGAATGAACAATTAACATGCAACACAAATGTCTTGGGAGAAAGGCTTCTCAGACCTTTGCTGTCACATGTTTTCTATTCAAACAACACTGGGTCCATAATGAATAAACTTCGAATATTGCTTTGTCAATTGCTCATCTTAGGCCAGTTACATGGATTTCTTTTAATTGATAGTATAACCCAGTCAAATCCAGTAGACTCGACAAACCAATACTTGAATAACATGTAAGTTTACTGAGTGCTAAGCTTTTCTGAAGGTGATCTAGTAGGTGTAATTGTATTTTAATCTAAACACTATGGCGTTAAGATGGAAAGTAAAGTTTAAGTACAAATTTTTGATGAAACTGTGTATGATTAAATGGATAAGACTGTCCAATCACTGACTGCCAAATCACAGGAGATTCTTCAAAACATTCTAGGAATAATCCACATAAAGAACCAACAAGATGAAACGCTCATCCTGGATTCCACTACTAACCACAAGCCACCTATTCTAGACGATTAATGAAGTGACCAACTTCATGCTCAACTGGTAGCGAACTCAGAAACCTGATTCGAATTTAATACTGGTGGAAGGGGAAATCTTATTCACTGCGATGCAAATTTACATTATATTTATGTTATAGGTAAACTAATTTATTCTATACCACTGAATAAATATTTAGCATTCAGTTTTACTTTCTCCTTCTAATACTCATCCAGTTTTTTTTAGTTAACTTGTCGATAAGTTCGGGCAGTTCATCTGCTAGTCAGCTAGCTAATTTTTTATTACTGATTTAAAAAAAGAGTACTAGGCTCAAAACCTAGGTGGATTTTCTAACACACGTTGTGTTTAAAACCCCTATACTAGCTATTAAAGAAAGTGTTGTTAGCAGATTTGTGATACGTAAATGCATGAAATTTTACCCAGTAACTAGTACTGGTTTGTTTTACCTTGAATTTCATAGCTTAGAAGATATACGATGCCATCTAAATGGACCACTAAACTTAAGACTTCTAGGGATACGTGAAATCCGTCGAATTTTACAGAACCGTTTTATATTCACTTGCCAGAAGAATGATAAGTATAATTCGCTGATAAATGAAAATGCACTTTCGTTTCTAACGTGGGTTGATGAATTACCTTTACCAAATATCATCAAACAAAATATTCTTTTAAATCCTATGACCTTGAGAACTAGTTGACCAAACTACTTTGCCCTTACTTTTTTTCGGTTCGTGCATTTATTTTTGATTTACAATTAAAGTACATTCTTTTAAACTTATTATTAAGTAAACAAGGTTTTTATGTTTTTGATAAAAATGCAATAAACATATGTACAGAATAAAATTGAAACAACTTTCTGTTTTGATGTTCTTATAACTTCTGGTTAGTCTCCACATGATAGAAATTGATAGTACCAGATTGTGAATCTGAAAACAAAGTTAATTGTAAATGATAAGTGTTGGAATATAGTTTGCTTATTTGTATATAAATGAATGCTTTAAATACTGTGTAATAGTATGAAAAGTACACTTAACCTTGTTGGGACAGCTTCCGAGAGCTATGACGGAACCTTCAGAGGCCCTAAAGGAGCCGAAGAGTTTCCATCCAATCAGAACGTGATGGGGCTTTCTAGAATATCAACGTGGCATACCACTATTGAACAGTAGCATAACTTGCCTCTTTGCGGATTGGTTGAATTATAATGTTGATATAACAAACGCTAATATCTATAAATACCCATGATTTTCTTTACATTTTGATTCTTACCCAACAAGCGCTTCTCCAGGCTTTTGATTTGCGACTGTGATGTTCTATACGTTCGAGTGTCGTATTTGTATACCGTATTCTGAGTGAATCAAGAAGCAAACTTAACATACCTTCGTACACAAACAATCCTTGCGAAACATTGGTAACCAAGTATCTATGATCATCTCAACTTGCTAAAGACAATTGAGGCTTCTTTTTTCATAGTTGAAAGCGAGAGTCATCGCCGATGTGCCGCCGGGTGTCTCGTCTCTACATCTCAAACCTGGACTCACATTAATCAAATCCGATCAACTACCCTTAGTATGCTTTTGTACAAGACTGCCACTCCTTTTAAAGTACCTATCTGGACTCTGATCATGTCCTAGTTTGCGCTAATTGTACTTTACATTTCAGTGGCCAACAAATTCGTCGTCCTTAACAGATAGATGTCAGTAAGTTGGTTGCGGCTTCTGTTGCAAACCGAGCTAGGTTCAAGGCCACCTAACATCTCACTGAAAAGTAAAGATGAGCATTGGCAGCAACTGCATGACGCCATGAAAATGGCGAGTAAAGTTGCTTGCGGCTTCGCGAAGCGTCTCACTGGGTTTGTACAGGCTCCTTACAACTCATTGAAACACGGTCTACTCCGGGTGACCGTGAGTTTGACCATAAACGAAGACTTACGCAGTGAAATTGTGCAAAGCCCGTGTAAGGTCATAGAAGCCTGGTGGTTGAAGGGTGCTAATGGGTTAGAAGCAGCAGTTGCTCCCAGTAACTGCCGAAAGCTCTTCCAACTCATCCGAGTGACTGACAGCAAGAGATCTGGTGTGAGTGAAACAATCTGCAAAGTTAACGACATGACGATCAATAACATCTACCGACGTCTTGGACGATAGGTAAGTTTTCGAGGAGCAGTTCGACTGGTCTGCTGTCCAGGCGACATCGATCAGACTGTTCTACCCTCTATGGCCTGTGACAACTGATCCACCTAACAAGGCAGAAGTCTGCAAGGGACTCCAACTCTTGAAGCGCTGCAAATCACCAAGCCCAGATGACTTACCTCCGGCTCTTAAAGATGATGGCGAATTTCTGGTTAAGAAACTGACTTTGTTGTTTGCAAAGGTCCGGTACTTAGAGTGTTCCAACACTACAATGAGTCAAAAGTTGGTTCATTTTTAAAAAGGGTTCACTTCATTTCTGCAACAACTATCATGGGATACGTCTACTAGGTAGTGTGGAACTTTATCATCAGTAAGGCTTTTTTCTACCAAAAAACTAGATTTCCGGAAGTACTGTGTGTGTGACGAGAGATTACAAGAACCCAAAAATTAATTCTTCGAATGGCAAACTAGAAAAGTAATCATATGACCATTAAGCCGCTTCAAAACTTACCATATGACGCCGAAAGGGTGTATGCCTCACCTTGGTAAACGAATTCGATGACAAAAGTTGGTTCATCTGCATAGCCACGAATAAATATTCCGTTGTACAAGCACCACATTATTAGGTCATGGGTCGAAGCACCAGATCCCATTCCTTTTTCATTAAAACAAAGCACCCAGTGAGATGTGTTTAATAAGAATTGAAGTGTAAGTTTGTAAAAATTCTTTCTATGTAATTAAATTCCAATTTGACTGGAAATAATTTAGGTTCCCACATTTCTAATCAAAGTATAAAAAGTTTCAGCTATTCATTTTACTTTCACAAAAGTCAAGGGATAAACATCTATAACTAACTTCCTAAAGATTAAGGAATAAGCGAATGCAACAATTTTTTCATTTCATAGAACGTCTCAAATAAACTATTTACACTACTTAGGTTTAATAAGTTTAGTGTGCTTGGGCTGAAAAATCATATCTGGATTCTGATTGCTAGATTTCCTTTAGTGACCAATTAAGGAACGAACAAGAAGGCCAAGGTCATAACATTCTTCAAAAGGTGATAAACTTGAGACACTCCAACGTTAAGCTTTTCCTGAAGAATCACACTCCCATTGTAATTTAAACAGATTAATCCGTTAGGAATTGCAACTGAGAAAGCTAACTTTGAGGGGGCACTTGCAGCATAGAATAAAAATGGGATAAGTAGAGGTTTCACATTAGAACAATCCTAATATGAGAGTGAAAATAGAACTCGTTTTCACTGTGTGAGAAATTCAGGAATAAACTGATTGTCGTAAACCCTTACAAAATCAAAATCCCACAAATTTTCACAAGCGATTCACTTACCTTCTACACAGATAGTTGTTTGTTGGGATTCAGGCTGATTGGCGAATGCGGCTAAGTGAGCTACTAATGATTCTGACTCATCGTTGTCGAGATCTTCGTCATCATCTTCATTATCTATAGTATGCGTAGGGCTTAGTGGTCGACCTCCTGTTTGACATCCATTAGTGCTAGATTGAAAAACCCCATCATAGTTAGCGATTATCTTGTTGAATTCTGACCTCGGGTTCCTGTTATTTGGACTGTTTTTCAAGCGTTGAAGTGGTGAAGTGTTTAACTCCGATTCAATATTTACGTTGGAGCTAACATAAGTAGGAAAATGCAAACCATAATTAAGTTCAATAGACTAATGTAAATCTCCAATAAATTTGAAGCTTCTTGATACTTTAAAACTGTGTCACTTACTTGTCTGCACTTAATGTTTCACTGATTACATTTTCTGGCAAAGCGACCAAGGCATCCATTACTTGTGCCATCAAAGTTGGATTATTCACCTGTTCACCTGCATCATTTAAAATGACTAGACCACTAGAACCGTCTTCATTAGGCTGATGATGAACATAAAGCGTTTCACCATCCGGGGTTTCAACTATCATCTGATAATGAAAATTATAATGAAAGGTTGGATGTCATGATTCTCAAATAATAAATTACACACTACAGGAAAGAGCAGGACAATTCCTTAATTTTACTTCGTCCGGTGAAATCTGAGTCAAGTATGCTTTGAACACCGTACACATTCGAAATAGTGAACACAAATATCCACCCTACCACTGGCTACTAACACTATTAGTCATTACCGATTATAAACGATATATGACTACACAAAGCAATATAAAATCCATGCAAGGAGCTTAAGCACTAACAGACGCTAATCAATTTACTTTCTAAAACTAAAAATGAGGGGACGCAAACCTTGATGTCAACTTTTTCTCAGGGTAGTGATAGTGACTTGCAAATATTGAGTACGAAGACTAACTGGAGTAAAAAAATCTGTCAAGAAAATCAATAGAGAGAGCATTCTACTGACAGTGTACACTAGACAAATTGTATAAGCAATGCCTGACATCAAAAACACACTAAAACCTGTATAGAGGTAGAAAAGTTGTTCAGTTTACTAGATGAATGAATGTTTTGGACACAAATCACAAACTGTCACTCTTATATTCCATTTTTAGGGTTGAAAACCCTTATTGCACACAAATCAGGCCCTAATGACACATTTTTGAACCAGGATATAAACCACCACTGTTGTGAGAGCTATAGAAGTCAGGTTGACAGTAGCGAGACACTCATTCGAATTACAGTGCTAAGCTAATAAGCTATCGTTTTGCATACATTAAAACACAAATCCTGCAGATATCAAACTATTTTTATTTGAACACTAACTCAACTCTGATAGTTATATGTGGCTGTGAAGAAATGAGGTCTCCATAAACGAAATCACAAAGTTTTGTACTGAGAAACTAACCATGAAGTAATGTTGGTGACGAGCTTAATTTAGCCCGAGTTTTACTGCCACCTATAGTGATGAAGAATATGGTGAACGTATTCCAGTGTGGAGTAAGGGTTGATACAGCTGTATGGACCACTACATAATACACCTCATACAAACTATTGCCAGGTCAGTTATAATTAACATAGAGCCTGATACGAATGTACACTACTTAAGGTTCTCGAACTACATCACCAAAACAAGATGAATACCGAAATAATAATAGTATCAATAAGACAGATTAAACTTTAGGAAATACAATTCCGAAACAGATGAATAAAAGTGTGAATAATGTGGAAAATCAAGAATGAGGGAAAAATAAAGAGAATGAGCCTGCAACATTGTGATCAGTACTTATCCATGTCACCCAACGTTCATAACCATTGATTACGGTTAGAACACCAAATCTCATCGAGTAATCTGCGCCTAACTACACCGGTTCCAACAATCAATGACTGCATAAGTTGATTCTGTCCTGGTTTGGCGGCCGCTAAATTACTTTCAAACTGATCCTACACCGACGAACATAATTTTTCGCAGCAAACGGTGGTTGAACATACGTACCAAAAGCCACAACCACCCGGTTCGACAAAGATTTATCATCTTTACTTAGTGTCCTGGATTTAAGCTATCAGGACTAATACGACTTTCAAGATAAATGAAGTGTTCAACACACACAGCCTAAGTGCCGAAGCAACACTTTGAACTTACAGGGAGAAATACATCTCAAACGCGCTTCTATTGTTACCCAAGGCGATCGAAAAACTGAAAGTTGTCAGCATCTGCATTAAAAAGAACTATATCGTCTGTGTAGTCGCAGTTCACTAGTGAATCATTTGGTAGGACATCAATCCCCGAAAAGTCAGACAAATAAAGCGTTGTCTCTCAAAGAGCACCTATGATGAAGTTAAATAAAAATGAGGGGTTTGCGACCTTGATGAACACCATTTGAAGTTACCAATTCTGATGACAGTTCGATATAATCTCTGATCTCACTAATAGTGTTCCGGTGGAAATCCTCTAAGTAGATGATAACCTTATTTAGCAAGTCTTCTATGACAGATATCAGTACAAAACATGTAGGTCGACGGAGTGGGACATCACCTACAAGTCAGGAAATACTGTTAAGACAGTGTGTCGGTAGGTAGGCCTGTTCTAGAAACTGGTGAAGAGGTATGTGATTTACACATGCACGCCTAGATGTGGAACTAGCCTGGTCTTCCCCAATGTGTTATACATGAGCCCTAGTCAAGCACTAAACGATTGAAAATAAAACTCAACACAATATATTGGTCAAACAAATACCTCTATGGTTACCACAAGAGAATCTCAGTCCTTTTTTATACAGTGGAAAGACCAGCCATTGGGATTAATTGGATGGGATTATGTCCACTCTTCAGACTCTAGCCAAAAATTGGCCACCGCCTTAAAGGATATCCAGATTTTATCCACCAGGTTTCTCAATTCATATTAGAGGGTCTTCTCAACTTCAGTAGGTGTTGGTGGCTCGTATCGATCTCCCATTTATCTGGGAATAGTATATAAACGCAGGGTAGATGGAGAGCAAACTGTTCTTCGCAGTATCCTCGTCATCGTATCAACCTTATAGGTGGGGAAAGTAGATTACGGTCCCGTCTCTTTCGGGGATGATTACACTATTACTTGATTTTTAAAATGTTTCTTGGACTTGGTTTGAAAAATTATCTTGTGTTTCCTATCGCCACAACTATTCCATCTCTTGCTTTCATCGCCTATCACAACTCGCGATTATTGTGTAGACTATCTTGTCCGTCAACGTCTAAGTTGTCTTTGGTCACCGTGTTTTGGAACTTGATGCGATGGGTTTCCGAGTTCCTATCAATTCGGTAGACCACTAAAACGCGAGTCTTTCGCAACCTTTTGGTTCAAATCATTGATAGATAACAATGCTATTTTCATAGCTACTTGAATACTATGGTAGGCTAGGATCAGAGTGAATAATACCTTCATGGCTTACTAAGCAGATAGTTATAGTATAATATAAAAAGTAAGCATTTCAGCGAAAATTTAGGGGTGATAACAAAGATTACACAGCTTACAACATCTCTTGGACAATCTTCATCCAAAGGCAATAAAATATCACCAGTCAAATTTGGCTTATTTTTAGTATCCGGAATAGAATCTGGATTATCTGCCTGTGTTAATGAATAAGGAGTGGTTTGGGCTTCCGAATTTTCACCACGAAGATTGACGTTTGTATTTTCATTTAATTCGGTTTTCCATATTTGTTTATTAGAACCACTGTGACCACTTTTTACTTTAGTAAGAGTTGTAATTTTTTCATCCTTATTAGAAGCATCACCGCCACTTGAGAATGTCTCGGAGATATCAGATTCTTCTATGTTGGAAGACTCCTCAACCGTTGTCGCAGTGACAGTCACCTCATCAGCTGGAGGAGCAGCAGGAACTAATGTTTCTTCTTCTGTTAAGATGTATGCGTTAGCACCTACTATATCCCCATTCGTGGCAGCCATACGACCGACTGATGATACTAAATCATACTGAGTATTCTGTAGAAATTTCGAAAGTTTATGAAAAAACATGTTCAGATGAACAATATATCATCTCTATACGGTACAATTTACCATCCATTTATAGAATGTAAAGTAATTTAAAGCAAATTGTATGCTTTAGATTATTTTTAGTTACAAACAACTATTCAGTTGTCTTTTAGAAAACATAATAATCCTACACTTGAATTCATCTAATAATGTTAATATAGCACTCAACTTATTAACCGATACAAAATCATTAGTTTACAAAACTCATCAACTTATCGCCTAGAATGTGATTAGCTTATTATAGAGTTATCACAGTGGAACATTACGATGTACACGGGTGCCTTACAATTCAGATCAATCCTTTAGTAACATGTACTTTCAGTTAGTGTGACAATCGGTGACACGTAAACAAAATCACGATATTTAAACTACGCAAAGTAATGTTTACCAAAATGTCTCCTAAGTGAGAATATAAAAAACCGAATATAAACCTTACACAGTTTCAGAAAAAACAGGTAAGTATATGACTTACTAACATAGCATCCCGAGCATCATCATGTTGTTTACACTCAGCTATATCTAAAGGAGTCATTTCGAATTTGTTCTGAAGATGTGCATCAGCTCCAAAACGCATCAACATTTGAACAACAGGTGTATGACCTCTTTCAGCTGCCCAGTGTAGTGCTGTCATACGTAACATATCCTTAGCACTAAGATCCGCTCCATTACGTAACAGAAGCTCCACAATATCTGCATGACCCTCTTGAGCAGCTAAATGGAGAGGAGTACGATCAACTTTAGTCCGAGCGTCCCTGCTAATACCAGCACGTAGGAGCGCTTCACATGAACTAAGATGTCCATTCATAGCAGCGAAATGGAGAGGAGATATTCCCAACTATAATGAAATAATAAAAATTATAGCAAGCACTACTTGAGAGTTCTATATATAAAAACTAAAAGAATTCGGCGAAGAAATCGATGAGATCATTTATTTAAGCCGTACATTCGTATTTATTTTTCTATTTTCATTGCTGAATTTATTTTTATTCATTAACACAACGGTTTTTTTTAGTTCTATATGTACTAACAATTGATACTATGAAATATCATTTCTAAGCTTCAGAAATAACAATGACAAATGCACGTAGAAGCTTTTATCATCTGAATAAAAAAGTAAGCCTTTTTATATAAAACCTAAGGATCGAGGACCCTGTATAAATTTTATGTTTTGGGGAACCCATACAGTATTCATCTGTGGTTATCTCCAAAACCTTATCTGACCGATTTGATAAATCAGGACGATTAATTTATAATAGAACGATGAGAAAATCAAAAAGATGAGTAGAATATAAGGTTTTGAAAGAAATGATCATTTTGTAATTTATATAGCGGACTAACCTTAGCCAGATGACCATAGAAACAACGGAGTGATGGATAGCTATTTCTTTCTAGTATGAGACTCCCCAGAAACCTGTACACATGAGCTTATGGCGAACTGTCGTCAGAATTGGATACTTTAAATGATGTCTGTCGGGGCTTTTTACTTTTCCCATTTTAGAGATAACATTTTCATCACCTGACTTTTCAGGGGTTCATCTACTACCAGGCGATTCGCTCGTTGACTTAGAATATGCCGATAACATAGTTCCGTTTGTTGAAGACGCTGACAAAATGCGATCTTCCTACCAAACTAAACGACAATGGGAGTTTATTTGAGACTCGGTTCTTTCCTTAAATCCAAAATGCTGCTTTAGAACTCGTTTGCGTTATCGCCTAAATTTATGATAGGATGTGAAGAACCTGGGAGTATCAACCGCCCCATTTATTTTAATAATTTTATCAGTCCTTACGTACTGGTTTCCGAAGAGATCTTGGCACATATTCAGAAAGCTTAGTTTGCTATTTCCAACGTGAACCACTTTTGGCGCAGGCGAGATACCCGTTTACCAACCAAAAGAACAGGTTTACTGCTCAGTAGTTCGTTCCATCCTGCTTTCTCGACCGTAGCTGCTACCTTGACATGATAGTCGTGCTTCCCTATGAAGATGATCTAACTGAGCTATATTGGCTGGAACATATGTTTCTGTAGGTTCTACCATGCCAGGCAGGTTGGTTGGAGAACGATAAAACTAAAAGCAGCAACTCAAAGTCCGAGGGCGAAGGCGTACCGCTGACTGTAGAGAGGTGTGACAGCAGCAAGGTGTTCCCCTAGGACAACCAGCATCTGCAGCAATGCTGCCTTCTCACGAGGAAAAACTTACTTACGCCTGTTACCCCCAATAGAGCATAGGCCGCAGACCAGCATTCTAGAACCCGCTCTGTCTTGGGCCTTCCTTTCTAGTTCTATCCAATTTTTGTTCATTTTTCTCATGTCTGTCTCCATTTCTCGGCGTAATGTGTTCTTTGGTCTTCCTCTCCCCTTTTGGCCTTGAGGATTCCAAGTGAGGATTTGCCTTGTGACGCAGTTGGGTGCTTTTCTCAATAAGTGTCCTGTCCACTCCCAGCGTTTCTTCCTGATTTCTTCCTCCCCTGGAATCTGGTTTGTTATCTCCCACAGCAGGTTGTTGCTGATAGTGTCTGGTCAACGGATCCGAAGTGTTTCACGTAGACAACTGTTAGTAAACACTTGTGTTTTCTGGATGATGGCTTTTTGTTGATGCAGATATGGTCAATTCGGTTCTGCGTAGTGTGATCCGGTGAAGTCCATGTGGTTTTGTGCATGCGCTTATGTGGGAATATATTGCCGCCTATGACCAGTTTGTTGAAGACACATTGATTTGCAAATCTCTCACCACCTTCGTTCCTTTCTCTCAGTCCATGTCATCCTATGATGTCTCCATATTCGGTGTTGTCCATTCCAACCTTGGCATTTAAATCTCCCATTAGAATGGTCAGATCTTTTTTGGGCACTTCTCGACGATCGACTGCAGCCTATCGTAGAATTAGTCTTTAACGTCTTCATTGTGGTCGTTGATAGGCGCATAGCATTGGATGACGTTCATTGTAATGCCCTCTCTCTTTGTTTTGAAGGAGCCTTTGATGATCCTTGGTCCATGAGATTCCCATCCTACAAGTGCATTTTGTGTTTGTTTAGACAGCAACAATGCACCTCATTGTGTATGTGTATCATTTTCTTCTTCATGGCTGGAGTATAACAGAAGCTCTCCTGAAACTAGTCGTTGTTGTTCAACCTGCGTTCAATGTGTTTCACTAATCCCAAGCACCTCCAGGTTGTGTTTCCTCATTTCTGCAGCAACTTAGAAGACTCTTTCGGTTTCCCACAATGTACGAGCATTCCTTGTACCTAGATAAACGATTGCTTTGATTGTTAGAAGGGGCATCGGCCTCGTGACTTCCGAAGGGACTCAGCTTTCATCATGAGGCGTCATAATTCTTCCTTCAACTACCAGGACAGAGTTTAAACGGTCTGAATTATTCTTTCTGGTTAGCATTTTTTAGCGAGTTAGTTTTCTACGGGATGAGGTCGCTAACCACATGCCCAACCCTCCACCTTAATCCGGGCTTGGGGCCTGCAGTAGCCCCTGATGGGGTTACAGGTGGAGTTCACAGAGAAGGAAGGGGTTAGAAAAGGTCGATCTAAAAAATTTCACGCCTCACGTTACCACCTCACGGATCTCCGTCTCTTGTGGTAAGTCCTTTTGAAGAACGGAGCTACCACGTTAAAAATTTCCCACAAAATGGCCGTTAGTGACCGGCCTCAAGCAGTTGTCTCTTGGGCTCTGAAGTCACGCTCCTAGATCATTAAGGCCAACACTAACCCAACTTTTCTTTCAGATTCCTCAAGAAATACCCTTCCATGTTGTGGTCAGCCGGGAAGTGACATCAGCCATCATACTCGTAACAGCACACGCAATCAAGTTGGTCACATTCAAATCCTTCCTACACATCCTAATAACTCTCTTATCTCCATGACTAACCCTTCTCACATCCCTTTATTACCTCGCGCCGCTAATGCGAAAAATTCGAGTGAGCGGAACGTTACTCCCAGTCTCATAAAACCACGCTCTAAACAACATATAGAAGCTTTTAACGTCCAAACACTGTGCCAAATAGGACAACAAGCTTCCATAGCTAGGTTTTAGAGTCTCGCGCCATCGATGTATGCTGCGTCTCCGAAACGCGCATAAAGGACGCGAGTAGCGTCATTCATTTGACCTCACCATGTCATAATAAAGAACCAAATCGACTTACGCTTCGTGTATCTGGAAACCCGGATGCTGCTCTCCGTGGCCTCGCTGGCGTATGTATAGCACTGAGTTTTAGGGCAGAACTAGCTTTCTTAGACTGGATCCCAATAGACAGTCGTCTATGCGCTGTCCGACTAAACGGAAGAGTAAGGACTCGGGAAGATAGGAACACTCGTCGTTGCCTCTTCGTCGTCTCAGCCTAATCTCCCACTGACTGCAACCCAGATGATGTAAAAGATGAGTTTCGCAGAAAGCTTTCCTACCTTCTCTGAAAAGCTAGGCGCTCTAATGTAGTAGTAGTGGCTGATGACTTTAATGCTCAATTAGGCAAACTATGGGAAAGGGAAAGACACCTGGGTGGATCTTATGGTGTCGTGGCTAAAAGAACAGATAATGGCGATCCTCTGTTGCAGCTATGCTCAGATAACCGCCTATTTCTTGCAAATACTAACTTTAAGCATAAGGAAAAACATCTTTTCGACATGGCCACCCCCGATTTCGTCCCAACGTTGGACCCAACTAGATCATATAGCTATCAGTCACCGATGAAAGGGTTCGATAGAAGACTGTCGCTCATTCTGGAGCACAAGTTTAGATTCAGATCATGCTCTAGTGAGAGCACGTATCTGTCTGCGTCCTACTGGACGTAGGAAAGACATTGCAGGGAAACCCCTTACGGTTTTACTTAACGATAGGCAAGCTAAGATTATATTTCAGGAACAACTAGAAAAACAGTTAGGCAGCCGTGTAAGTTGTGCACACCCTGAGGCAGCGTGGAATGACATCCGAAAAGCTGTGGAAACAGCAGTGATATCCGCTAGTACGGTAAACCATAAGGTTAGGGAGAAACAATGGATCTTAGCAGCATCCACCGCACTGAAAGATGTTTATTTATTTATTGAAACACATACATATTGGTACAAAAGGGCACCAGATACATATGCGCCACACAAAATAATGAGAATGGGAGGAGAAAGGGGGAAGATGCGTATACATAAGGAAGAAAAAAAGAAGAGTAATGATGGGGGAACTGAAATGTACAACCAGGACTCTCCCAGTTAAGAAAGTTATAATCCCTCTTTATGAAGAAAGTAAAAGGTAACAGCAGGCACGCCACTGGCTTCTATTCTGAGCCATATCTGACAACGTCTCTAGCCACTGTGTTACACCATCTCTATGAACCCAACCAAGGAGTCGTAAAGGACCAGTAGAGGCCTGTCGTATATAGCTTCCTTCCATACCACGACACCATGTCATACACTGACCACCTCCCCACCTTTTCCAACCAGTCCCAGCGCCGGCAAATAATGCACAATGTGGAATGCTGTGGGACGACATTCGTAGTACATATCCAACCCACCGAAGTCGATGTTTCAAGATGGTGACACCAGTTGAATTATTGTCTCTGTGTCCAAACACACGGTGCCGAACCTGTACATTATTAACATGGTTTTGCGACTGGATGTCAGAAATCCTTCGAGAAAACAGTGATCAAAAATAGAGAGTCGTTTAACATCCTCAACTCGGAGGCCAGGTTTCACAGGAATAGATCAAAGCCACTCTCGACGACATATTGTACACTCGATCTTTTACAGCCAGACTAACATCATGAAGGCGCCAAAGATGGCTTAGATTGGCATAAGCCACTCTGGCTTTCATTATACGTGCATCAATCTCATCACTCACGCCACCACCAGCACTTATGTAGCTACCTAAATACACGAACTTCTCAACTACTTCAATCTGCTCACCATCCAGGGTGAGTACAGGATGAGAATCCTGCCAGTCTTGTAGGAGTACTTTGCACTTTGAGGGTGCAAAGCACATACTGTACCTACGGACACTGATCGCCAACTGATTAAGTGCGGATTGCATGCCTTGGGCATTATCGCACAGTAAGACAATATCATCCTCATACTCAAGGTCGAGAAGTCTTTCTCCAGGCAGCAGATCCACACCGCCATTACTTACATCCATCAGAGCTGTTTCCGGAATGTCATCAATGGCAAAGTTGAAGAGGAATGGTGAGATCGGGCAACCCTGTCTAACCCCGCTGCTCGAATGGAACAAGGGAGAAAGGTGGTTGTATGCCCTCACTCTGCCTGAGGTGTTCGTATACAGGGCCTTTAAGATGTTAATGAACTTCTCAGGCACACCCTTCTTCAATAGACAATCCCAAGAGAACAGTCCTGTCCAACGAATCGAAGGCAGCCCTGATATAAAGAAATACTACGATTGTTTGCCTGCGATAAGTATGACGGTGTTCTAACATTTGGCGAAGGGTGAAGATATGATCAATGCATCCTCAACCAGAACGAAAACCATTCTGGCAGCGACACCAGCTCCCAAATGCCCTGGTACGGCCGAGAGTGGGGGGAGTTCGCTCTCCCTCTCGAAATGCTTTCATATGGCCACGCGTATGCAGCCTCTACCAGCGAAGTCATACTCACTGCCTCCTCATGGCGGGGGTGTTGTTTACGAAATTGATAGGGCGAAAAGCGAATGTCCGACGCTTTAACCGGGTTGGTGGAAACGGAAAGTCCACCTAGGGGAATTGGAAAACCCTGATTCAAAACCAATGGTGCACATGGGCTCCAGTATCCTGAGGGAACGAATGGCGTATGAACCAATTGTTGGTCACCGGCTACCATGAGACTGCATCTCCTTACGATGCTCCACTGCCTTGTGGATCAGGCATTTAGGTTAAAAGCTCGGGGTGTGGCCCCCTAAGAAAATCACCTGCTTCGGTTTGGGCACCCGAGCAGTATCTCAACCCTCACACAAATCAAAGGAGATTTGTGTGGCGTATATGTATCTGGTGCCCCTTTGTACCAATATTTATGTGTTTAAATAAATAAATAAAAAGTAAGGGGTTGAAACTTGGAGAACTATTACAACCATCATCAAAAGGGTACATGTATTTATAAACAATTGTCTACGTAAGATACTCTATGTCCATTGACCGGATACCATCAGGAACAGCCTACTGTGGGAGAGAACAAACCGGCTTCCAGATGGAGGGGAAATTAGGAAACGACATTGGAATTGGATAGGATATTCATTAAGGAAATCACCAAACTGCATCAGAAATTAAACGCTGGTTCTGAATTCTCAAATATTAAAGAAAAGTTGGGGACCAAAGAACATACGGTGCTGGAAATTGGAGGCAGACACCAAAATAATGGATAGCATTTGCCAACAATTGGGAAGGAGCTCAGGGTAGAATAGGTTAGAAACTCTTGATCGACGGCTTATGATCCACGAGAAGCAACAGCCGTAAGTATATTAGGATGTGAGTTGTTGAATAAACCAAGCATGATGTTTTAATTTATTGAAGCCCATGTCTCGGAACATGCATAGATGCTAGCAGTACATAATTCTGCTGTTCGATCATAACTTTCAGCCAATGAGCTACAACGTAAGGCCAAGCGCATATGTACATCGTTCCAAGTTGCAGTACCTCATTAGCACAACAAGATGAACACTAATCCTAACTTTGTGGGCAAGCCAAATAACTTACCCAGTCAGTAGTAAACGGTGCTCCATTATTTATTAAATTCTTGACTTCCTCGACATCTCCATTTTTTGCGGCATCCAGCAAACGCTTGCCAAGATCAACCAAGGAAAATGCTTGTGAGACATGAGAAAAAAGTCTTGGGTCGTTATGTGCCAATGGTATAATATATTGATTCATGATCTGCAAAATTTAAGTATACCACAATGAATACAGATCAAAAATCGCACTACATACATAAGATTTATTTAAAAGTAGTTGAAAATGGAGAAGTTAGTATATTTCAGAATCTCAAGTCTATAATTACACATACTGTATGAATAATAAAGTGCTGACATTCGATTTTAAGAGAATCAATCAAATTTCTAACATGATCATACCCTTATTCTATACGAAACTGTTTGCGATTACAGAAGTACAGACAATTATATCTGGTACTATTTATCATGAGAAACACTGATGAGGCGACACTGAAGACGAAAAAACCTAGACCTTCCTTACGCATGTTACCCCTCGCTAAAGCGCATAAGACACCCACCAACACTCTCTTTCCAACCCTGTCCTGGGCAATCCTATCGAGTTCTTTCCGGTTGTTACTCATCCTTTTCATATCTGCTTTTATTTCCCGGTGTAGTGTGTTCTTTGGCCTTCCTTTTTTTCGCTTCCCTTCACGATTCCAAGTTAGGGCTTGTCCCGCGATGCAGTTTGGTGATTTCCTAATGTGTGTCCGATTCGTCTCCAACATCTTTTCCTAATTTCCTCTCCATCTGGAAGCTGGTTTGTCCTCTCCCACAGTAGGTTGTTCCTGATGGTATCTGGTCAATGGACATAGAGTATCTTACGTAGACAATTGTTTATAAATACATGTACCCTTTTGATGATGGTTGTAATAGTTCATCAAGTTTCAGCTCCGTACAGTAGGACTTCCTTGACGTTCGTATTGAAGATCCTGACTTTGATGTTGGCTGACGGTTGTTTTGAGTTCCATGTGTTCTTCAGTCGTAAAAATGCGGCCATATTGCTTTTTCCTTTGTGTATGTTGAGGCCTACTGATGTAGAGGCTGCTGCTAAACTAGTTGTCTTCATCTGCATCTATTCGTGTGTATGGGATAGACGAACCAAGCTATCTGAGAAGTCCAAATCGTCTATCTGAATCGAAGCTGCCCATCGTATTCCGTGCTTTCCCTCAGATGTCGAAGTCTTCATAATCCAGTCAAACAACAGAAGAAAGAGGAAGGAGGATAGTAGACAGTCTTGTCTGACTTCGGTCCTTACTTGGAATGCATCAATCAACTGACCTCGGTGCACCACTTTGCTACATAATTCTAAATAAATAAAAACCCTATTTCACTGTGTTGTCTTCTGATATACGTCCATTTGAGGATTTCGGCAATAATTCAGTACCATGATCAGACAGTACTTTATCATTTCGTATTATTTCATTCTATTTACTGTTCATCAAATTATCGAATCCCCCTTTACAGAAGTGAAATTGAGAATAAATATCTGTTGTTAAAATGTTTTTTAAATTGGATGAGTGGAAATCAATATTCATTCAGTTAATGCTATCAAAATATTTCTAAATAAATTGAGATCTTAACTTCACCAACAAATCATTTATCAAATCCCGTTCAAAGACAACTCATCATAGAAAATGTTAGTTCATCCAATAATACAGTAATTACAAGCAACGTAACAATTGAGCCAGTGAAATTTGAAGTCCCTGATGATTCAGATCTAGTTGAAGCCCAGTAACCTGAATTTCCAGAAAATTATTGAGCTTCAACTGTCCAGTCTTTAAATATGATTTCTCAATGCTCAGTTTAGAGAAAATTCGGGCGACTAGCATCCACGTATCAAATGAACGCACCAAAGCGACTGACACTCAGTAACAATAGAACGGTAGTTTTAGTGCGCACATCGCCACAATTCAAATCATGCGATAAATTCCAAGCCTAAAGAGAAGGGAAAGTGAAATCTAAAGTTTATGTCGAATCAGCAATCAAACAATGATAAAGGGACGTCTTAAACTTTACGTTAATGTTGTAGCTGCAGATGTTAAACAAAACAGAAAAAAAATCCCCATGAAGATCGAAGGACATACGAAACAAGTAAGCATCATTACCGTTTTAGTATTGTCACAGAAGCCTACACTATTTTTTAAAGGTGATATGATAGACAAGGTCTTGGTTTATCGGAGAGCAAACAACCTACAAAATCGATAGTCCAATCATCATTTATATTAAATTATGTCTATTTTGTGTCAATACTTAGGACATAAGCGTGTTATCCTATTACATATATATCCGATATCAGTTCATTTGTGGGTAAACATTAATAGTGCACTTCATACCACTCCATTTTATCCATCGATTAGTATTCTGTTATCGACTTAGAATACATAGATCACCTAGTCCTGTTTAATGAAGACTATTTTGGTAGCATTCGGTAACAATGCAAGGATTTTTGGAATGCGTTTCTCCCCCTCTAAATGTAAATTGTCGCTCCAGGACTGGCCTGCGTCAACACCTGAACTAAGGATAGAGAGTAAAGTAGTCGAACACGTCGACAACTTCACTTATCTTGGAAGTCTGATCAGCCCTAATGGGTTGGTGTCTGAAGAAATTTCTGCACGGATTCGAAAAATCTCATTTGGCTTTTGCCAACTCACATCACCTATGGCGAAGGTTAGATATATCTATCAATTGAGAGAGGAGTATACCGAGCAGCAGTTCGCTCTGTTATAATTTGACCACAGATGTCTTAGAAATATTGCTCGCATCTGTAGGGATCATCGGATAAGCAATAGTGAGGTTAGACATAGGGTATTAGTGAATGATGGTAAATAAGTTGATGAGGCTGTAAATCTTGACCGACTGAGTTGGTTGGGCAGTCAGTCAACTTCAACGTAGGACCAGGTATATATATGCATCCGTCCAAGTTGCTATACCTCATTAGCACAACAAGATGAACACAAAATCCATAAAAACAGTTACTTCAATCGTAGTAATATATAAAAGAAAGACTGCATATAAGGATACAGTACAGGAAGAAAAACAGATATGAAGCAATTTTAATCTCATAGTTTAAGGAAGACATAGAGTGTATACACCTGCGTCATTTTGATCGATTCTGAGACATGTCACCCCGAGTCTCCAACCATCAGTTACGATAGTCACACCGACCCCAACCCAGTAGTCTGCATCTACGAACATGGCTCAGACTAGAAGTTAGTGACTTCAAGCACTGATGGCATATTTTCGTTTGGCCGCGAATGTCCGGCGCTTTAACCGAGTTGGTGGAAACGGAAAGTCCACCTAGGGGAATTGGAAAACCCTGATTCAAAACCAATGATGCACATGGGCTCCAGTATCCTGAGGGAACAAATGGCGTATGAACCAATTGTTGGTCACCGGCTACCATGAGACTGTATCTCCTTACGATGCTCCACTGCCTTGTGAATCAGACATTTAGGTTAAAGGCCCGGGGTGTGGCCCTCTAAGAAAACCGCGCTACTTCGGTTTGGGCGCCCAATACTAGTCAGCATTGAGCGTCATGGTAATCGGGTGTTCAGGCATACGCAACACATGGCCCAACCACCTCAGTCGATGAGGGTTCACAACCTCATGAACTGATTTACCATCATTCACTAATACCCTATGTCTAACCTCACTATTACTTACCCGGTTATCCCTGCAGATGCGAGCAATATTTCTAAGACATCTGTGGCCAAATACTAGTAGTTTACGAGCATCTTCTACTCTTAATGGCCCCGTTTTGCAGCCGTAAAGTAGAACAGAACAAACTGCTGCGCAGTATACTCGTCCCTTAATTGATAGACGGATATCTCACCTTCGCCATAGGTGATGTGAGTTGGCAAAAGCCAAATGAGATTTTTGAATCCGTGCAGAGATATCACTACGATTGAAGTAACTGCTTCAGTGAATTTTGTTTTCATCTTGTTGTGTTGATGAGGTATGGCAACTTGGACCGATGCATATATGTGTCTGGTCTTATGTTGTAGATGATTGGTTGACGAATGCTACTAATCAGTGGTACAAACTAAAGTGGGTGGGGCATGGTTCGAGCCTGAAACTTAGTGGCTGAAAGTTGAACGCCTTAATGACTAGGTCATCATTTTACACACTATAAAGTACATCGAGATGAGCACTACAGTTTCGTTCCAATGTAAGTTCGGTTAGGATTGCTGTAAATAACCACCTTGAACGCAAATCTAAAAAAGGAAACAGAAGCTGAGACACCCATGTTTGACTTATGATGCAAACAAGTAGTCTAGAAAGGTTATAAATGTACTGACTCCATGCAATGAAAGCTCCCAGATCCATGGAACTATCGGCTCACACTTTCAGGGTGATTTTGGCAACTATTAGGGTGAGACGAAGAGCTTCCCTGAACTAAGATTTTTCTGAAGAGATGAAACTGAGACAACTATTGGTATATGGTGAGGATTCTAACGCAAAATATATTTGTTCATGGTTAATTTCTATGGACAACGGTGTTCCAATATGCGCACATTTATGGTTTTAGAACATGTTTTACAGGTCCTGGTAGGATTCAACAGGAACACTGACGTTTCATCCAATAATAAACCTCAAGACTCTATAATTGGTGTTACGCCTACAAGTGAAAGATTACAGAGACTGATTACATGTTTAAGACCTGCAGTGAGTATTTAGAAATCATAGCAACTGCCAAGCAATCAGATGAACAGGTATATACTTGATTGTCTCCTAAATAAACCATAAACCCACAAATTAGAAATCCAATGTTGATGAATAGGAAGTTTCGTTTGGCTAAAGACCCCCAATCTGAAGTAAAACGACTTGGGAGACTATATTCTATCTCGTTAGTTGAATGAGTTTCGACGTAGGAGCAGTGTTGAAAGCATTTTTGAGAAATGGAGAGTGTGGAAGAAATAAAGACTGCGATTTAGAGGAGGACATTAGAACCCAAATGACGTGGAGATAGTAGTATGAGACACTCGCACTAACACACGTATATGAACCATGATCAAGGTTACACGTGAGTACTTGGCAAAGACAAAATTGTGGGTAATGGAAAAAAACGAAATATTAGAATAACTGATCTATTGGAAAGTAAGGATAAATCATGTAGGTGTATAAAAATGTTAGTTGCCGCAACCTCTAAACTCATCTAGACAAACTATTTCGACTGTCCCAAAGTTGGGGTTCAAATATTCATTCCAGAAAGTGTGCTAATGAATGCTGAACGCAAAGGTGGTCTCCGAGATACCATCAGTGGAACGCCACTTTTACATGTACAGAAACGGAAAGATCTAGAAGTAATGGTAAGTCATGACATGTGAACAAATGCGCATTGAAATGTAAATGCTGTCAGAGGTTCCGATTGTTATGGTCACTTGGACGGACATTCAAATGCTTGAATAGTATATGTTTCGAGATTCATATCCCACTTATGTAAGAACTCAATTAGAATATCCCACCCAGGTGTTGACTCGCCAAGCAGCTAGCCCATCACTTATCGCGGCTGCCGACATACTACGATGTGTTTAACATGTGGGAACAAAATTTGTGATGTGTCTCTCCGAAATCTCCTAAGATGAGCGCTTAAAACACCCAACTCTCCTTATCTCATGAAAGAACCCGAGATGATCATATATTGGCGTTCCGTATCTTAAATACTGATCTCAGAGTTTCCCTCATTACGTCCCAACCTCCCTATTTTGGGGAAAATTTTGTCTGTTTGGGGGAAATTTTGGGCAAGCCGCTATAGAAAATGTTGGTGAAATGGCACAAAAACGTAATAATTATTACGTAGTATACTGCTGAAGACTAAAGGCTAAAGGTTCAAGGCGGACTTTCAGCACACAGAAACTTTCCATGAAATAATCACAGTTTCAGTTTTTGAAAGCTAACAACTGATCGCTTATGAATGCTAACCAGTTTCTAAAACCAAGAAGTGAGTTTTATACAAAATTTCGGATAAGTTAAATAAACCGTAAGATATCTTAATTGAATCTAGGATCTGTAACTACTTATTGTTATCTATATAATTGATTTGGAGACAAACTAAGAAATATAAACCCGCCCCAGAAGAACCTGTCACTGTCACTTCGTGAGAATCCGCCGGTCTGACCTTGAAATGTGGTATAGCTCCAAGTCTCAATTTTTCCGCGATAGCAAAGTATCCTGTTGATATATGGAAACGATCCAAGCTGAATAACCAATTAAAAGCTGGAATTACCGAAAGGCCGTTCCGTTGTGGTATGGAACTGCTTGTTTTGTGGGACCTATGTCTGGGTAGAAAGAGACCGTTCTTGTTACAAAGAGGATTAGTCCATCTGAATGTAAGACAGAAAATTACTGGTTAATGGTAGCATGAACCAATGAAGAGTAACGCATAGTACTAATTTCAGATTTCCTGAGGAAAATAGTCGATCCTCTACTCCTAGTACCGTCTTAGATACCCTTCTTTGAAAACGTTCCTAGAGAGTCATATCTTTATCTGTGCAACATTATGTGGAAGTCTTTCCGAACTTAGTCTTAATTAAGTACAGAAAACAATTGTGAATAGCCGATGAGTCTAATCTAAGTTTGTGTACTAGAGGCAGAGAGCCAAAGAGCCGTGTTGCTTATTTTCTAACAAACTTCTGTGACCGTTTACTACTCTTGTGAATGAGTTAGTTGAAGGTGCGCGTGTGTGTACTACTGCTTTCGATTACTTACTTACTAATTTACTTATGCCTGTTACCCCTCGTCAAGGAGCATAGGCCGCTCACCAGAATTCTCTATCCAACTCTGTCCTGAGCCTTCCTCTCCAGTTCTTTCCAGTCGCCATTCATCCTTTTCATATCTGCTTCTATTTCCCGGTGTAGTGTGTTCTTTGGCCTTCCTCTTTTCCGCTTCCCTTTCGGATTCCAAGTTAGGGATTGAGTCGTGATGCACATTGGTGATTTCCTTAATGTATGTCCGATCCACTTCCAACATCTTCTCCTTATTTCCTCTTCAGCTGGAAGCTGGTTTGTCCTCTACCATAAAACGCTGTTGCTGATAGTATCCGGCCAATGGATGTTGAGTATTTTGCGTAGACAACTATTTATAAATACTTGTACCTTCCCGATGATGGCCGTAGTAGTTCTCCACGTTTCAGCTCCATACAGTAGGACTGTCTTGACGTTCGTATTAAAGATTTTGACCTTCAAATTGGTTGAGAGTTGTTTTGAGTTCCATATGTTCTTCAATTGCAAAAATGCTGCCCTTGCTTTGCCAATCCTCACCTTCACATCTGCATCCGATCCTCCTTGTTTATCAACGATGCTCCCCAGGTACTTGAATGTTTCCACCTCTTCCAGAGTTTCGCCATTAAGTGTGATTGGGTTGATGTTCTCCGTGTTGCATTTGAGAATCTTGCTTTTTCCTTTGTGAATGTGGAGGCCTATCGATGCGGAGGCTGCTGCTACATTTGCTGTCCTCATCTGCATTTGTTCGTGTGTATGAGAGAGGAGGGCTAGGTCATCTGCGAAGTACAAATCATCTAATTGATTCTGAGAAGTCCATTGTATTCCGTATTTCCCGTCAGATGTCGAATTCTTCATAATCCAGTCAATCACTAGAAGGAATAGGAATGGGGAGAGTAGACAGCCTTGTCTGACTCCGGTCCTTACTGGAAATGCATCTGTCAGCTGTCCTCCATGTATGACTTTGCACTGTGGTCCATCGTATGAGTTTTGGATAATGTTGACAATCTTTTCAGGAACTCCATAGTGTCGAAGAAGTTTCCATAATGTTCTCCTATCCACGCTGTCAAACGCCTTCTCATAGTCAATGAAGTTGACGTATAGTGATGAGTTTCACTCGACTGATTGTTCAACGATGATCCGTAGTGTCGCAATCTGGTCTGTGCACGACCGATCCTTACGGAATCCAGCCTGATGATCCCTAAGTTCGGCGTCTACTGCATCTTTCGTCAGATTCAGCAGCACTCTGTTGAAAACTTTTCATGGTACTGATAACAAACTGATGCCTCTGTAGTTCTCGCATTTGCTCAGATCTCCTTTCTTTGGTATCTTGATGAGATATCCTTCTTTCCAGTCCGTTGGCACTTGTTCCTCTTCCCAAATCTTCTTGAATAGAAGGTGAAGCATGTTTGCAGTTATTTCAATGTCTGACTTCAGTGCTTCAGCTGCTCTTGTTCGGCTGTTGTTAATTGCTGTCTTCTTGTTCTTCCTTTCTTGAATCCTGTCCAGGGTTTCGATAGAGATCCATTCCGTATGACGATGATGTTTCTTGCGTCCCAGAACCTCCTGATACGTTGAAGTTAGTGCTTCTTTTATCCCTTTCCAGTTGTCCTCCAAAGTAGTTTCTTGTTCTTTCAGTAGATCCTGTAGAGCCTGGAACCTGTTGTTGAGAGTTATCTTGAATTCATGGAGCTTGTCAGTATCTGGAAGGAAGGCTGTATTGAACCTTTGTAGTGCTGTTTGTCCAGTTGTCCAGTGTTTCTTTAGCTTCAGTCTCATCTTGGCCACAACCAGGTGGTGATCTGAAGCTATGTCAGCTCCTCTCCGGGCTCTCACATCTTCCATTGATCTTCGGAATTTTTTGTTGATACAGATGTGATCTATCTGGTTCTCTGTGGTGTGGTCCGGTGAGATCCATGTAGCTTTGTGTATGCGTTTGTGTGGGAATATTGTGTCACCTATAACCAATTTGTTGAATGCACATAGGTTTGCAAGTCTCTCCCCATTTTCATTTCTCTCTCCTAATCCATGTCGTCCAATTATTTCTTCATATCCTGTGTCGTCCACTCCAACTTTAGCATTTAGATCTCCCATCAGGATGGTGAGGTCCTTTCGTGAGCACTTCTCTATAATTGATTGCAGCCTTTCATAGAACTCCCTGAGTGTGTGGAGCATTTTCCCCTTCGTGACCGGAGTACAACAGCATCTCTCCTGTACCTAGCCTTTGTTGTCCAGTTTGTGTCCAATGGATTTCGCTGACTCCGAGTACTGCCAAGTTGTATCTCCTCATTTTCATTTCTATTTGACTAGTCTCTCCTGTCTCCCACATTGTCCGGACGTTCCATGTACCTATAAAGAGTGTTGCTCTGGTTGTTAGAAGGTGCATCGTCCTCATGACTTCCGAAGGAACTCAGCTTTCATCATGAGACGTCATAATTATTCCTTCAACTCTCAGGACAGAGTTTAAATGGTTTGAATTATTTTTTCTGGTTAGCGTTTTTTTAGCGAGTTAGCTTTTCTACGGGATGGGGTCGCTAACCCCATGCCCAACCCTCCTCCTTTACCCGGGCTTGGGACCGGCAGTAACTCTAGAAGAGCTACAGGCGGAGTTACTGCTTTCGATAGAAGGTCCAAAAGTTGATTACTTAGTGAGAAACTGTACATCACTCTTTGTTGAACTTGTGAACACACCTACCATGTCCTCTAAGTTTTCTAGTGGGAAAGAAGAGAGGATATATCAGGTCCGAATTCAATTCTTATAATCCTACACTCCAAAATGAAACAGAATAGTCTACGACAAGATGAAGTAAGAAGGTTTAAAGTTCCGAGCCGCTCTGTATGGTAAGCCTCGGAATTCCTGAACTGTAGTTGTCCTCCATGCTGTTTCAACGTTATCCGAGTCAACTTATAAACTAGGGCTAGTGGCTTGAATGTAATTCACTGTTTTGACTCTCACCAAAGTTGTGTATACTGTGAAGAGCATACTTGTATCCAACTTAGTGAACATTCATCTCAATTCTCATAAGGTTTCAAACCTTCTAGCTGCTCTCACAAGGCAATGAGCCATGGTCTTAAGGTCCAGATTCACTATTACCCCTGGATCATTGCTATACGAGAATAAAGTCACAGATGCCTCCCGATATTGCGATCACTTCTGCCCCTCTATCCAGTTTCCATGCAGACAAACTTAGTCACGTCAATAGACAACAGTCACAATTCAGACTAGATAACCAAAAGGTCTATGTCACCTTGCAGTGGACAAGCGTCAACACTCCTCAATATTTCGCGTAAGATCTTAACACCATCAGCATATGTTATCATTAGGGGTTTGACGATCCACTCTATTTCACTCACACGGAATACAAAATATCAGGGACCTAGAAAGGAGCCTTTAAGTACTCCAGTAAGTACTGGTTTCGATAGGAACTTAGGCAACATCCACTGACTTTTGGTCACCAGACGATTCCTTTTATCTCTACTTTGCTATCAGGATTACAATCGTCCACCATAATATCTCGAAGTCGAGTTGTTCATTATTTAGAAAGTTGTTAGTTCCACAAAATTCGTCATGGTAGTTCTGACCATTCTTTCTAACATTTTAACTGCAACATTGATGGGGTTAATTAATAATAATAATTAAGTATTTTGAAGAAGAAGACAAGATTCGGTTTAACTTTCCCCCCTCATGAAATATCGAGCCCAAATTTATTACATCTAGAATTATAAGTCAAGGTACAATCAGTTCCAAGAATGCGAAGTGTGAATCGTCTCTGTACTGATCTCAGACTTCATTTATCCTTTATGCGCGCACTACTATGAATAAACGCAGTATTCTAGGAGTGGTCGAACACAAACTTTGTACATTAAAATACGTGATTCATTGTTAAAAAGGTTTCGAACTATGTAACTTATGAGACGTCGAGACTCGGAAGCTTGCTTCAATATCTCTTCTGTAAACGACAATTCGTAGGAGTACCTAAGTCCACTACTGTATGTAACCTAGATAACACTTCACTATTTATGTTAGGTCTAAATTGAATGATATATCACCGAAACATAAATATCCACACCTAGCTCTATTGAGCTCCAACTGCCATTTTCAGCACCACTGTGCTGCTTTGTTAAGGTCCATGTTGATGCAATTTCGAATAATGTTCAGCTCATGTGGAGAAAATGAATACAGTACTTTAAGATCATCTGCATGCAGAAGGGGCTAACCCACACAAAAACACTAAGAAATATCGTTGATAAAAACTAAAAAGAGCAAAAGAACCCAAGACACTACCTTGTATTACATCACTTCTAACAGGGACAGCGTCGAACCATGAAGAGTTAATTTTAACTATTTGATGTTGGTTGCTGAGGTAGGAATCAAATCAATCAAGCAAAGGGTTTGGGACCCCATAAGATGTGAGTTTACCTTTGAGAAGTTGTTGGTTGACCGTATCTAAGGCTTAAGAAATGCCCAGGTACAACACTAATACTAGATAACCTTGACTAAGACAATAAACTAAATTAACGAAGTCAAAGTGACATATCATAGAGATCGATTTCTAAGAAATCCATGTTGCGTATCATTGATAAATTTTTCAGTGATTAAATAGTTGGGTATTTCGTCACTAATAATTTATTCCATAGTCCTAGAGATAACTGGAGTAATATTTATCGAGCGGTAATTTTCCATGTCAGTCTTGTCTCCAGATTATCTATGTTGTGTAGCAGATGCTCAGTATCTTGTTCCTCACATTTCAGCAGGCGTCGCATCAACATATATGCCATGAATCACATACCGCATTTTTGAAAACTCATACTGGCAACTTACTGTCCAATAAAAAGATTGCATCTCTATTTCAAATGCCTAATTTGTGAAGTGTAACAGTAAAAAAGCCCACATGTTGTATCTCGCTTCTACTAATTTATGGTACAATCTTTCTCATCAAGGCCTAAACTACATCGGAATTTTCTGTATCAACCAACACATTATGTAGGAAATAATATTTTGTCCAAAAATAAACCCTAATGAGCCTAACATAACAAAAGGAAGGAGGATGGAGTTACTGACCAGTAAGCATTATTGATGAAAAAATGACTTCAATCTAACTCTATTTGTGGGACGGAATATTTTGCTTGCTTCAGGCCCTTTATTTTTGAGGATAAGACAATTAATCAATAATACTTAAGCCATTTTTCTACACTCTCTACTGAAACTCACGTTTCTGATTTTATGTCGAATTCGCTGTACTGCTAAGGCAACCTATGTCATACTAACTCAGAATTTTTTTATTATAACCTGTTGCCTGGTATCAGATGGAAAAAAGAATATAAAAAAGAATAAAAGACGTGGTTACGTGCGTTTTTTACAAGTTACACTATTATGATGCAATTTGCATTTTTATAAACAGACTCCCTTATTCTATTTTTGACTTCTATCATGTGAAGTCATTCCACTGTGTTACACATTACAATCAACCATTCTATATCACTGTATTTTCTCACCTGAAGGCCATTGAACCGCATTACATTCGAGTAACAGCAAATAGTATAAGTTATATCTAATAATGTACCAAATATTCATTTGTTCGTCTACAGACTGTTGAGAGAATTTCTGGGAGGGGGTTATATCTGAATGCCTGACTGTCCTTTACTTCCTCTTCGTTTCCAACATCACGCTTTCAGTGCACCTCTGTGGAGCCTCTTACGCCTAGAACAAGCCTGAAACTAATTTAACGTCAGCGTATTCCAGTTTCATAGCTCATAACAAGCGCCCTTTAACTTTTCTTTATAACAACCATAATTTACTTTGACAGTCGCATGGCAGGAACACTCGACAGCAACGCAATTCTAACAAAATAAAATCGGGTTTGGAACCGGTTTGCAACGTGGGCACGATGCAATTTTTGAAGGAAACTACGAAAACTGCTGAAATATTAGCCTTATCATTATCTGTGTGGTACATTTGCACGACTGTGCTGTTTTCTGACTTTACTGATTTTATTTATTTAACAGCTCTACCAGAGGAGCATTTTATTTGTAAATCGATTCCTAAATCACTAGTGTTCCCTGTTGGGATGGTGTGTACTTGACATAGCAGAAATATTTTATATTTTGTGCAGTGCTTCATAATTTTTTAATAATCGTACCAATAATCATTTTTTCAAATATTCTAATCTATTTGTTAAACATGTAAGAAGATCACTAACAAATTCCACGCACGTATTAACGATATGTGAATATTTTAGTTTCAAACCCCAAAATGGCTAAACGCCTCAATAACAACCATCTTCAGCCAAACGCGCTCTTTTTACCTTAACGTCATGTTTCCCACTTGTAAACTATCTTAAACGCTATTGGTCCATTGTTTCTTTGTGTGTGCTATTTATAAATGATGCCCAAGGACATTTTCCTGCTGTATGTATACGCTTGACTTTTTCCCTTGTTTGATTGCTGTGCTTCTGGCTGCTACGGAATATAACTTCCCTGCTTCCAACTTGGACTTCTTACTCTAGTTATCTGGGTCGGGGTCGCGTCAGAATAGATAGCTTATCGGTCTCTGGTCACGAGTCTTTGTTCCGTTCGCTACTAGTGAATTCGTAACGCTTCAGATATAACAATTGTGGGTTAGATATTCATTTAGTGTATTACCTTGCTATAAAGTTAACTAATGGTATAAGTTTTAAGATACTAATCAGATAACGTAGTTTAGAAATGATGGAAACAAACAAAAGATCAAAGAGCATGAAAGACGAGCTCGGGGTTGCATAAGAGTAATACGATAAGTAAGTAAACAAAATATCAGGAGGAGCTCACAATGATTTGGGATATTATGAGTTTCTTATGATTGGCCATTGTTCTCTGTCTAATTGAAAGAGAAATTAGAAATGGGATATGACACTTCATGGGAAAAAGAATGCAACTTTAAAAATCAGAGAGATTGAAAGGGCATGACAAACAATTAACAATAAGTGAAGAAAAAGTCTATGTTTCATCATTTGGTTATACACATGTGAATGACAATGAGAGTCCATTATATTCATGATCGGTCTAAATATAAAGCGGTCCGTAACAAAGTGCTTCAATTTTGAGTGAGAGTCCTGGGAGTAGTTGATGGAACTCTTTACAGTCTAGAAACGGGGTTGTTAGTCATTTCAACGTGATAATAGTGTCACAACTACGGATGTTTATTGGCAACCTATTTCATAATAAGCTATACCACACTGTAAAAGATTACAACTCACTGGTTCTTGATGGTTTACAGTTAGTAGCGTAAATGCACTGTTTCTATGTCTGTAGGAAGGGTCATGGATTGTGATTGGGAGGGAGGTTAGAAAGGAGAGACCATATATCGTCTTGTAGAAAGATGTTAGATAGTTACCTAACCGACAGAGCCCAAAAGGTTTTAGGGAGCAGTGCTTACATCAAGCTGTGCAGTTGAGTGTGAAGCAACACCTTTGCAATTATCGCGAGAAGTGTCTTTGGCCATCTTCTGCCCTTATCTTGTCTGTGGTATTCGTTTTCGGGAAGATGAATGAGCAATATTCGAGGGAGGGTCTTACACATATTTTGACAAGGGTAAGCTTAGTTTAAATTGGGATGGAATTATTTATTATGAAAGCCATCAGTCATCTACATATGGAAAAATAAAAGAGGCATGTTTTTAAACCTTAGGACTCCTGTTTAATAATACCTAGACAGTGCACTGGTTTGAGCGTCTGAACGTTTTGTTTACTGGAGTGAAGCAGCAGCTCACACCACGCTTGTCGCTGTTAAATGGTAATTACTATTTTTAGCTCCAGATCGTTAGAATATCGAGATCAATTTGAATCTGGGATACATTTTCACTTAGAGCTTAAGGCTTAAAGCTGTATATTATTTTTGTATAATCAGCGCATAAGTATGGTCTCCCGGATTTTATGATGTTACATATAATAATAATAATATATTTCTGCATTAGCAGGTACACGCCATTTTTACAGGCATGATCTACAATTTACAACATATACTGGTTCACAGTATGCATCCCAAGCAAGCTTGTTTAGTAATTATAATCTATAAAAGTTGATAGCAGTTCATTCGTTCAGATATAATGTGTTTTCATAAGAATAGTTTCCAAAGGGGCATAGCGTCCACGTTATATACCAGATCCAATCTCGACAAAAAGTGTAATAGGGTTTCGGTAGTTCTAAGTATTTATGTAATGCAGCTTTTTAAGTTTATAGTTGTTATAAAGTAGGCTTGTGGAGCGCCTGGTTCGAGCTATGACCTTGGGAAAGCGCGTTCGTCAAGCTTGTTCCAGATGTCAGAAGTCACATAGCTTCACCCCCAGAGCAAGATTCTGAAGAGAAAAAAAAGAAAAAGAAACCGAGCAGCAAGGCATTTGGATATGAGCGATAATCAATGCTCAACATTTATTAGTGGAACAGATAGAGGTATGATAAATTATTAGATTAAATTTATGCTAGCTCATTTTGCAAGAGTAAACTGCGATTAGGGGCTCCAGAAGAGAGAAGGCAGTAATAAAGAACAATGAGTTGTGATATTTATCAAGGTGGAGTAGGTTCCAATGAAGGAGGGAAGTCAAGGTTGGAATGAGGAAGAACAGAGAGTGCATATAGAGAGTAGTGTTAAGTAAAATAGAAACCATATCCTTTACAGTCAGTTTTTTTTTCTTTTCTCATCCGATGCCTGCCACACAGTGTTCATGTAAAAGTCCGAGTTAGCATGTTAAAGGTTGTCTTAGTAGAATAGTTAATCTAGCACAAAAATTGGAAACATGAGTCTTAATGGTGAGTGTAGGTGAACAATCTCAATATCACAGATCTATTGACTTGTTCTCATCCATAAAGAGCCTGATACAAACAAAATGTTCTGCCCCACAAACACGGGTGGATTGAAATCATCGCCCACACCATCAGTGCTTGCTGGTCAGTAACTCCACCCTCCCTCCTTTTGTGATGTTAGGCTCATTTACGATTATTTTTTGGATACATATCATACCTCACACAATGCTCTGTGTTTCACATCCTGTTGGAAAACACTATTTCTATAAGTACCATGTTACAAGCTTATCAGACAGTTACAAATTATGGACTGTGGGTAAGGCTTCGATGCAATGTTTTTATTGACTATATAGTGAAGTGTAGGTTACGAATCAGAGTATAGGCATTAGGAAGGGTATAGCGTAGGATATTTCTTTACCATAGTAGGCGGAAAAATGGAGATTTATATTAGTTACAGATAAGGTAAGATAACGAGTGGTGAAATAATATTGATGGCAAGGCAACATAGTGTACAGATGAGTAAAAAGCTGATAAAGAATAGACAAGAAGTAACTCACACTAAATTCGCGCTGAGGTTGTTTTGTTCTATGCTAACCGGTTGATGGGTGGCAGCAGTCAGTCGATTGTGCGTTTCTTCTGGTGTTTTAGGGTATTTATAGGCGTCGTTTAGCGACCGAGTATTGATAGATCCAGTGAGTTGCCTGTCTACTTCAATTGAAAGGAATTAGTGAGGGGAAAGTATCTAATACAACTACGAGGTAGGGAAATAAGGCGATTCAGTCTATATATGTAGAGAGCCTATGATGTCTGTGTGGGACGTGGATGTGTTCGTTTGCACCAGATCTATGCAGGTGAGTGGTTGATTAATGAGTCTTGCAAACGTATGTAATTTGTCTGCCATGCGTACTTCAGAAGGCAGACTGTTCCATATCAATGCGTACTTGATAAGGAAGAAGTTTTCACGTGTTTTTGATCTGTGTTTTTCAATTTTGACAGTGGATACTTTGTCTCCAAGGTT